ATCTTGATCTAATCTGAGGAATTTGTTGCACTCAGCTGAGCTCAGATATTTAAAATTGGAGAAGAAGTTGTGCATTTTTACTGCATGATGGCCATTTTAGTGTCACAAGCCAGCCTTTGCTTTACTATCCTGTTTAATTGATTCATCTAGTAACCAAATCTCAAACTGCTAGAAATTGAAAAATGAAAAAAACTGTGGGTCTATACAGAAGCTCTATAGATTTTTAGTAAAGGAATTCTTTAATACTATGAATTATGAGTTAGATGTATTAGGAAAACCAAGAAAGTAATTAATCTTCATTAAGATGGCTACAGTCTGCCTACAACTGTTTAAACAAAGTATGGATTCACAAAATAAATCTTTAGGGTGCCTATGCACCTCATGCAGAAACTAAACTGAGTCACCAAATGCAGGATTATGTGGTGCTAAAATACCTCATTATCAAGGTGTCTCCCCACAATCACAAACCAGAACGATACCTGTATTATAGGAGGCAATGCCTTCAGGTTATTTTCTGTGCTTGTATGACTTTTTCTGCCCACCAGCTTTAGACAACAGAACAGAATTAACAGGAACAACTACGTACTTTGAAGCCTTGTCATACAGGCAGGCTATAGGGATTAATAAATTCATTAAAGCCAGGAACATTCTTCCTCTGTACAGTAACATACAGAAAGTCAGCTAATTAAGCAATTTAGTATTTATTTGCACAGATATCATAACCACAGTAACATACAGATGAAAGTCAGCTAATTAAGCAATATTTATTTGCACAGATATCATAACCATTGCACTGGGTCTTAAAAGCTCAAACTGAGTGCACTTGTTGAAGTCAATAAAATGACAGCACAGACATAGCAAATGCCAATTACAGCGTAAACAAAGTCACTCAGTACTTACTGTTTAACTCAATACCTACCTCGTTTCTTGTTGTAAATAATATTCTTACACAACAGGTCATTGTGACAGAGTACCACTGGTGATCCTAAATTTGACAGTCTCTCCTTCATCCAGGCCATCTCTTCCTGAAGAACTTGAGGACTTGGAATGTCACTTAAAAACCTTTTCAGGTGTAAGAATTTTTGATAGTTAATATTTAATACTGTGTGTTCCAAACAGAGTGTTTGTAATGAAATCACTTATTTTCCTCTACACTCCTATTGCAAGTAATTCAACAGACCTTCTCCCAGACCAAAGCACTCTTTTGGTGGCACAATGGCAGTCCCTCTGTCCTCCCCAAAAACCAATTCTCTCAAGATTATCTGTGCTGGAAATATGACAGTAGTCCACAATTCAAGAGTAAAACTTGAATACAATCCTGCATATTTTCAAAGGAGTCAAGACAGACAGGGTTATCTCATGGCTTTCCATTCACTTTTAGCTCACATGACATCCTTCATGGAGAACACATAAGAGTCCTATATTTTCTATACAGAGGAAATGTTCATTTTTACTTCGAGTTGCAGTAAACATGCTTGAACGCCCATTTTATCTTCTAGATTTTCAATTAACTACTTAAGTTCTCAATATTCTTAATAATTGTATGATGTAGGAAAGGAAAAATAAAATCCAACAACTTTGCTAGAGGATTCTTAAATTACAATGCAGCAAGAAGGACAGTTGGCATCAGTGATTTCATGAAGAATGTTTTTAAGCTGCTTCCTGAGCGATATGAAGTTTGATGATATTGTACAAAACGCTTCCAAATCATAATTTTAGCTTAAAAGTGTGATCTCTGCTCCATAAGAAACACTGTCTTCAACTTAAGCTTTAGGTTACAGGAAAGAAATTTTATTCAGGTTAAACATTATTCCTAGTTTTGCCACTCATCTCAACCTTCCAGTGACTGATGCTACAACCCTTTGGAAATACTTTATTATTATGTTAAATTCATAAAGGAAAAAAAAAAAGTTCAATTTACATCTCCAGATCTACACTGGGATGTTAAAAACAAAACGTAATTATATCCTTAAATCCAGGTGATGCCATTATTCATACACCATGATAGCAGAGACCTAGAATGACTGTGAATAGCTTTTCCTCCTCTTGAAATGATTTGAAGCTTATTCCCATCGCTCCAAACAGCCTCTAATTTACTTCACTTTTACAACACCCAATTTTGGACAAATATGTAATGGACCAAATACAAGAGAGCCTAGCTTGCATACAATGCAAGCTAGAATGAAGAAGCAGCAGTACTCCTGGCATCACAGGAAACGTGGTTTTAGTATTCACCCCAGAACACAGGTCTCTGTTTGAGACTGATGATGCTCTTAAAAACCATTGAGACAGTTCCAGGAAGTACACAACTTGACCTTGGCTCTTTCAAAAGAGTAAAGACAACTACCGTCACTGTCCAATCAAACCAAGAGCTATATCTATATATACACAACACACCAAATGAATTAAAAGACTCTCCTTACATTTGACAAAAGTACAGCTACTTCAGTATACAAGAACATGACAAAATTCAAAATTTTATAAGCAGTATGTGATAACACAAACCTACTTTTTTTTTTTAAACGTATTTTCCCACCCCTCAACCAGGAAGAATGGGAAGTCAGGAAAACAGATAATGAAACACCTACCTTTTATTTACTTCCTCATCTGCAAATTCTGTGGGTATGAGAGAGAAGTATTTCCCCATCTTCAGCCACAGATTAGATTTAGGAATCCATCCATTGTGTGCATGAATAGTATGGATTTTAGCAAGCTGCCTGGCAATGAGTCTAAAAAAATAAGTTTAAATTGATGTTATATTTAATGTATATCTGACAGTCTTCTGTTTTTCCTAGGAAAAATTATGAAGACAGCTACAATATATTTTTAAAAAAATGTTAAAATGCAGCAAGGGAATCCAAAGAGGGTTTAAACAAGAGCAGCACAGCTATAGGGTACCATCTTTCAAGACTCACAAGGTCATTAGCAGCACCACTTGACGAAGGATTCGTTCAGTTAGGGCATGCATACTTCACCTGTATTTACAGTCTTCTCTCCAAATTAGTCATCTTTAGAAGAATTGACTCAAATTAAATGCTTTTGTTAGGCAAATACATTTCAGTGCATACACGAAACACTAAAACCTTAAGACATCTACAGTTTCTGTTCACTGCTAATAGTTTAAAAATTACGTCTCAATAGAAAACTATCTTGAACCTATTCACAAAAGGAATGTACTAGAAACAGAGCTAGGAGTGCCCGCTTTAATCAAGTCCAGCCTCCTACAACTCCATGATGTTAAACGATGTACTAACGGTCACGTGCAAGTGTTAAATACTCACAACAAGCAGACTCCTAATGTGTACACAGTCTCCTGGGGGGGTGGGGGGGTATGGGGGGCAGCAAGGATCATTTGTTCAGCAGTGAAAGACCATGATGACTAAGACAGACACTGTCAAGAGTGTGAACATCAACTTGGTGCAGGCTTATAGAAACATTTCTGCCAGCTCATAAACTAAGCTTGAGATCCTCTGGGTCTGACAGAACACCATAAATGCACCACAAAACTGGAGTAATGAAATAATAGTAAAAAAATAAAACAATAAAAAGCTTACCTGAAAATATCTGGATTGCATACATGCTCTGGATCCAGTGCTTCTCCCTGCATGAACTCGTAGCACAGCCCATTATTGAAAGTACAGTATAGCTGAGGTGCACAGCCATGGGCCTGCAACACGCGGAAACTCTTCACTTCCTCATCTCGATCTACTAAGAGTTCGGTCTTATTTCCATAGATCCTAACTAGAACGACATCGTCTGTTACGTCCCCCACGTAGCAGCCAATTAATTTATTGGTGATTCCATCGGTGAACAGCTGAAAAGTAAAAATAATGCATAAGCAACGCAGATCCGCATTTTCAGCATGCAGGAAAAGAACACAGGGTTATTCTTTAGTCCTCAAAGCACAAGCGTTCGCTAGATTGTGCGTCAACAAAAGAAATCTTTAAGATACGGGAAAATAGTGAAGAAAATTGCAAAGCTGTTTACCAGCAACACATGAAAAGAAAATAAGAAAATGTGAAAACACGCTACAGTGAACTACAGAAACACTACACGTAACAGGCCATAACTGAAAGCTCAATATTGCAAAATGAGTTTCCACATAACCACTCTGAAACTGATGGATTAAAAGGCTGAAATCAAAGCCTCAGCAAGGCAGCAATCCTGAACCAGTACAAAAAAAAAAAGAGAATCTTGAATACAGGCAGCATGAAAACAAAAACAATTTCAACGCACTTCAGAATTTTTGTATTTGCTGATCAGTGCACAGCTGGTAAAATATACTCCTGGAGTTCTGAACTACTCCTTTTACAAACCAAAATTCAGGTCAGAAACAGTTCAAGTTCGGTGGTTATCATCTTCCCACTAGCCTTGAGGTTGTACGGATTGAGAGCAATTCCTAAAGCAACACTGGCTCCTCTACAAATGTATAACAGTACTCAAAATTCAAAACCCTAGTCTTCAGCCTCAAGCACCATTACAAATTTTAAAGCTTCTGACAAGACCCACTAGCCTCCTATTTTACTTCATAACTCATACATGCCATTTAAAACATTAAAAAAAATATCAAAGTCCTTACCATTATATATAATTATAATGTATGTATATAAACACATGCAATTTTTGAAGCACTACAATTTATTAGTCACTGACCAGTCTAGTCACTGATGCCTGAACCTACTGAAGATGAAACAAGTAACTTTCTCCAAAAAACAAGCAAGATCATTATGTTTACACCTAATGACAAGCCACTCACTGCCTTTCACATAAGGGTGGCAGTACAGTTACCACAAGTTCCCAGCTACGGAATGGGGGCGGGGTGGACCAAAAAAACCCAACTCTTTCACTGCTACTTCTCCTTTCACATTTGATGACAAGGCCTAAACCAGTCATTCCATAGGCTGAACTCTTGCAGACACTACCTGACAATGAGTAGACCCTGAGTTACTGGGCTGTGTGTACCCTGTTGCATGTAGTCAAGCATTTGAAATCCCACTCCATGCCTGCAAGAGTAACACAGCAGTTCCTAATCTCCTACAATCCAGGACAGTTTTATAGCTCAGGAAACAAGATGTTAGGCACTTTCAAACTCTTTGCCCTCTGCAACTCAGACTAATTGCTTCAAAATTTGCTAAATGAGCTCCACCCATATGAACCCTGTCAAGTAAGTGACTGAAGGACAAGCCACTCACATTCTCAGGTGACAAGCAACATCACAAACAAGAGCACCACTGTTCTTGTCACTAGTGAACAGTCTTCTGCAGTCTTAAACATGAGAAGTAAACAATTTAAAGTCAAGGTTCTCTCAGCAACTGTAATTTATATTCAAGTTTGTGGGTTTTTGGGTTTGGTTGGGGTTTTTTTTGGTTTGTTTGGTTTTGTGGGTTTTTTTGTGTTTAGTCATGCTGCTTTTCCTACTCTGTTGCCCCCAAAATTCTAATTAAGAACTAAAAAGTAAACCCTCCCACAAGACACACAACCACCTTTCAGGACACAGCACTAAAACAAATGAGCAGCAAGAATTAGCTTCAAGCTGGCTAGCATGCAGAGTTTTCCCTTGGGTGAGCATCCTCCAACTTTAACTTAACACCTTTTGTTAGGAAGTTCTTTCAACACTGACTTAGTTAACCCTACACACCAGAGACAAATGGGATACAGTCTGATCACCTTCATCACAACTCTGTCCAACTATGCAGATCCTCAAACCTGCAAGCAGCTTTCATTTCAAGGCAACCTGACAACCCTGGATAGATTTTTTTATAATTCCAGGATGTCATACAAGTCAAAATCTGCTGAAAAATTAAACCTATCAGAATTAGAATACTAGAGTGTTCAGTGACAACAGTTTGAATTCCTTATTTACTGATGTCCATTCATGCATCTTCCCTGCACGTCTTCTCCCTCCAGCCCCAAGTCAGGCCCAGAACAAAAATACTGACAGTAGCCTGTTGCATTTCAACCCTTATATTAAACCTTTATATTTAATAAAAAGTACTTAAAAATACACATCAACAACAGGCAACATCTTTACGGGCATCATCGTTCTTTAGAACCTTGGATGGTTTTGGGAGGGGGTTTTTTGGGTGCTTTTTTTTTAAAGCAAAACACAATAGAGAAACATTGACTTCCCCCCCAAAAGAGAGAGCCTTTATTTTGAAAAGTAAGATAGTATCATTCAAACACAAGTTACAGCTTATTTCTGAATCTCAGGAGCTTAGAGAAAACAAGCATTAGGATTAATATTTTTAATTCCTAAAGAAAAGATTTTCAAGTCAGGTCAAGTCCCTCCATTTAGGGAGAGACAAGACGTTCACAGTGGAAGATGCTGTGTTTTAGAAAAGAGAGCCTTTATTTTGAAAAGTAAGATAGTATCATTCAAACACAAGTTACAGCTTATTTCTGAATCTCAGGAGCTTAGAGAAAACAAGCATTAGGATTAATATTTTTAATTCCTAAAGAAAAGATTTTCAAGTCAGGTCAAGTCCCTCCATTTAGGGAGAGACAAGACGTTCACAGTGGAAGATGCTGTGTTTTAGCTGCTATGCCTCGCATTCCTCAGCACCCCTGTGTGAGGAGGTGAACAATCTCATCCATAAATCCAGAAAGGACTGCAGAAGCTTTAGTTATCGTCACAAATAACAAGGAGTAGGTTAGGTTCCTGAGGAAAGATGCAGAATAGCAGAGGACACAAAGGAAGTCCATTTTCTTAACAGTTAGGAATGCTCAATCTTGCAGAAGTAGGTTCAGCACATCGCATACCTTTCTTCGACACAGGGCAACCATAAATTCAAATAAACCTGCTAAGAATGCCTCCTTCACTGAGTCAGAATTAAGACCCTACATTTCTGTGTACCTAAGCACATTGTTGCAACAATGCACATGCTGTATCAAGAAGAGGATGATGTGCTTCAGTGTTACCCACCCTGAACAGGCACTACTTAAAGTGCTGCAAGTATGGCTTGTCAATCACTGATTGCACCTTTATATTACAATGTATTCATTCATAACCTTCCCACTTGTAAGGGCATTGTCACAGAACTAACTAGACCAGCAGGGACCTCCTGTGAACATCTAGTTCAACCTCCCTGGCTCAAGCAGGCCCAACTACAGCCAATTGCCCAGGACTGCATCCAGTGAATTCTTCAGGAATTCTGGAGACCCCAGAACCTGTCTGGGCAGCCCAGTACAGTGTTGACCACCCTCTCAGTAAAAAAAAAAAAAAAAAACCCACAACCACATCACCACACAGCACACCTACAACAAACAATAAAAAAAACAAAAGGCAGTTTTCTTGTGTCCAGATGGAATTTCAGATGCGTTTTAATTTGGTGCCCATGGCCTCGCCTGTCACTGGGCACCAAGAAGAGTCTGGCTCCCTCTTCCTCATTCCCTCCCATCAGGTACTGATGGGAATGAGAATGAGTTAATTCTAAAAAACAGAATTAACTCATTAAGAAGTTTAAAAAGCACTTTGCAGAAGTGATGTGTTGATCAAATTTAAAAAGTATCTTGTCTGCCCTATTAAATGAAATCTTCTGAAGTGTAGCGTTAGAAAACGCTCTTACCTGTCACTGCAGGACTGAAAAAGTGAAAGTTCTGTTGAACGAAGGTGGATCAAGACCAGCAAGTTATAAAATTCACTACCCCTTTTGAAGAAACTTAGTCATCTATTGTCTTTACCAAATGGCAAAGGCGACTAACAAAATAGGTGGTAATTCCCAACATGCAACAGCACTATCCCAAATTACTGGAACCTGTGCTACAGTTTTCTACTTATAAAACAATCCTCTCATGAAGCTTGCCCTTCTTGCCACACAAAACTGTACTATGAAAAAGGCTCCAGGGTCATCAGAAATAATACTACTACCAAAAACACCTCCAACATTGTCATGCTAATGCAAAGAAACAGTAAGAATCTGACTGGCTCATGCTGGTAAACAGAAACTTCTAGCACTGTAAAGCCGTTGTCAGACTGCACAGGTCTATCATCCCTCTAAAACAAGTCTCACGAGTGCCAATAAAAAGGAATCTACAAGAAGGAAATTGGACTCCCTCAACTGATAATTTAGGAACTCTACTTCTTATTAGCATCTATTTGTAGCATGCTGCTCTAAGTAATTATTTACACCCAGGAGCATTTTAGTTATTGCTTCTTAAGGCGGCAGGAGGGTTTGCATTCTTTTCCAATTATATTATTCAGAGTAGACAATTTCCATATTCCATCGTGAGAAGTCGTTTCATGTCTTCCACCAGTTAGAGAAGATAACACGCGCTTCAGTCTTTTGTTCAGAATGCCTCTGCTGTAGCGTTTAAAGAATCAGCTTAGACGGCCTTGCCTGAAATGTAACCTGAGACACAGCAGAGCAACGCAGGAGTTCTGTAACAAAAGCAGCAGCTGAGCAGCACACGCAGAGAACAGACTGTGATGACATGTATAAGACAATCAGGAAACTCTCAAGGCCACGTGGAAGAAGAGGGAGGAATCTATAGAATGTAACGAATAGAAGCTAGAAAATTCTGGAAATAAAATTTTAAAAACATTCTAATCTAATATGCAAAAATTAAGTTACTGTGATATGTACTTATCACATAGTAGCAAGTACTTGCTGGTGAGGTGATAAAAAGCAAAAACTAAATTCCGAATACATATCTGGAAACAGTATTTATGCTGGCCCATAATCTAGTCAGAGCTCTAGCTCCAGGTCACGGCCTTCTAGCTCCTGGGAACAACTAGATACTGTTTGCTGAAACACAGAGTGAAAGTGAGAAAGCTACCAATACGCTTGAGTTACTCAAATGCAGTCTCAGAAAGCAGCACA